CCCTGTTACCCCTGTTCTTGCCCTGTTACCCCTGTTCCTGCCCTGTTACCTATTTCTTGCCCTGTTACCCCTTTTCCTGCCGTTACCCCTGTTCCTGCCTCTGTTACCCCTGTTCTTACCTCTGTTACCCCTATTTCCTGCCCCTGTTACCCTGTTCGCCTCTGTTACCCCTGTTCCTGCCCCGTTACCCTGTTCTTGCCCCTGTTACCCTGTTCCTGCCCCCAGTTACCCCTGTTCCTGCCCCTGTTACCCCTTTCCTGCCTCTGTTACCCCTGTTCCTGCCCCCATTACCCCTGTTCCTGCCCCTGTTACCTACTTTCCTGCCCCTGTTACCCCTGTTCTGCCCTGTTACCCCTGTTCCTGCCTCTGTTACCCCTGTTCCTGCCCCTGCTACTCACCCTGCCATAGTCAATACCCTGTCTTCACCACCTGCCTCTGCTGCTCTCCTAGTCTAAATTCTTTCGCCTCCTGACCATCATCTCCTGCCCTCTTCTCCTCTCCCTCTCTTTTCTGACTCTGCCCTCTCCCCTCCCCTCTATCCTAACCCTGATCCTGTCTTCCCCCTCCCACTCTCCCTTCTGACCCTGCCCTCTCCCTCCCTCTCTCTCTTAACCCTGCCTCTCCTTCCCACTCTCTCTCTTAACCCTGCCCTCTCCCTTCCCACTCTCTCTCTTAACCCTGTCCTCTCCCTTCCACTCTCTCTCCTAACCCTGCCCTCTCCTCCTGACCCCCCCTCGCCGCCGCTGGCCTGTGGTAAGCAGTGAGCAGCAATATCCACATCTGACGAGTCGAGGCAGTGTAGTTAAAGCCGGGCTCTACTGCACAGACTAGTGGCCAATTACCCAGTATTATACGACAACCACGTCCAGACAAATACACGTATAGCCGGACTGACCTGACCCTGTTGGAGTTCTACACCCTGGGTCCTCCCTGTCTCTCCTCCGGTCCTCCTGTCTCTCCCTTCCTCCCTGTTTTCTGTCCTCCCTGTCTCTCCCTGTCCCCTGTCTCCCTCCTGGTCCTCCCTGTTTATCTCCTGTCCTCCTGTCTCTCCCTGGTCCTCCCTGTTCTCCCCTCCTCTCTCTCCCTGGGTCCTCCTGTCTCTCCCCTGGGTCCTCCTGTTTATCCCCTGGGTCCTCCTGTCTCTCTCCCTGGTCCTCCCTGTTTATCTCTGGCTCCTGTCTCTCTCCCTGGGTCCTCCCTGTCTCCCTCCCTGGGTCCTCCCTGTTTATCTCTTGGGTCCTCCCTGTCTCTCTCCCTGGGTCCTCCCTGTCTCTCTCCCTGGGTCCTCCCTGTCTCTCTCCCTGGGTCCTCCCTGTCTCTCTCCCTGGTCCTCCCCCCCCCCCCCCCATCTCCCTGGTCCTCCCTGTCTCTCTCCCTGGTCCTCCCTGTCTCTCTCCCTGGTCCTCCCTGTCTCTCTCCCTGGGTCCTCCTGTTCTCCCGTCCTCCCTGTCTCTCTCTCTGGTCCTCCCTGTTTATCTCCCTGGGTCCTCCTGTCTCTCTCCCTGGGTCTCCTGTCTCTCTCCCTGGGTCCTCCTGTTTATCTCCTGAGTCCTCCTGTATCTTTCTCTCCCAAAAATCTTTCTTCTTTCATTCCAAGACTCAACTCTTTACATCTTCCTCAATATCTTCCCCTTCCTTAAGTCACTTTTTCCTCTTCCTCACACTCCTCCCTCCTCCCCCCTCACCTCCTCCTCCACACTCTTCCCTCACCTCTTCCCTCCCCCTCCTCCCTCACCTCCCCCTCCCCCCTCCTCCCTCACACTCTTCCCTCACACTCTTCCTCACCTCCCCCTCACACTCCTCCTCCACCTCTTCCCTCACCTCTTCCCTCACCTCCTCCCTCACCTCTTCCCTCACCTCCTCCCTCCTCTTCCTCCCACCTCCTCCCTCCCACCTCCTCCCTCACACTCTTCCCTCACACTCCCTCCCACACTCCCCCTCCACACTCCTCCCTCACACCTCCCCCCTCACACCTCCTCCCCCTCCCCTCTCCTCACCTCCTCCCCTCACACTCCCCCTCACACTCTTCCCTCACTCTCTATGGTCCCGGCTATCCATCTCTCTCTGTCTCCGTCTTTCTCCTCACTTCGGTATTATTCTCCTTCATATCCTGCCATCTTCTTCCCGCCTCTCTCATCAGCTATTTCCTCTTCCCTCATTCATCACAGCCATTTCCTCTCTGTCCCCTTTTTTATCGTTCTTGTCTAATTCCATATCTGTCTCAACTCTTACCATCTCTTCTTCCTATTTCTTGAGTTCTCTCTCTCTATCTCTGTCTTTCTTTCGTCTTTCTTGGGTTTATGCTGTTTACTCTCTCTCTCTCTCTCTCTCTCTCTCTCTCTCTCTCTCTCTCTCTCTCTCTCTCTCTTTATCAGCTTTTCCTCCCCTCTCACACTCTCTCCTTTTCCTTTCCCTCTCACTTATACTCTCCTTATCTTTCCCTCTCACTCATAATCTCTCTCTCTCTCCCTTCTCTCGCCCTCTTACTTGCAGCCTCACCTCTCCTTTCCCTCTCTCTTTTCATTCCTTGCCCTCTCATTCTGGGACCCTCTCGCTTTACACCTCTCCTCTTAGTTTCCACCTTCTTCAGATGAGTCTTCCTCCAGCTCCTCCTTCAAGTTGCCAGGAAGGTCTAGCCCCTGTAAATGAGTCTTCCCTTCAGCTCCTCCTTCAGAAGTAGCCAGGAAGGTCCTAGCCCCTGTAAATGGTCTTCCTCCAGCCCTCTAAGTAGCCAGGAGGTCCTCCCCTTAAATAGTCTTCCTTCAGCTCCTCCTTCAAGAAGGAAGCCTACCCCTGTAAATGTCTTCCCTTCAGCCCTCCTCCATGAAAAGCTTCCTTCAGCTCCTCCTTCAAGTTGCCAGGAAGGTCCCTAGCCCTGTAAATGAGTCTTCCCTTCAGCTCCTCCTTCAGAAGTTGCCAGAACCACCCCTGAAATGAGTCTTCCCTCCAGCTCCTCCTCCAGAAGTTGCCAGGAAGGTCCCTAGCCCCTGTAAATGAGTCTTCCCTTCAGCTCCTCCTTCAGAAGTAGCCAGGAAGGTCCCTAGCCCCTGTAAATGAGTCTTCCCTTCAGCTCCTCCTTCAGAAGTAGCCAGGAAGGTCCCTAGCCCCTGTAAATGAGTCTTCCCTTCAGCCCCTCCCTCAGAAGTACCCAGGGACGTTTTTAAACCCTCTACAGAAGTTTCCCCAGCAGCCCCTCCTACGCATCAGGTGGTCTCCCCTATAATTCCTCCTTCAGAAGATGCCTTGGAGGTCTCTGTTCCCTTCAGGAGTAATCTCCTCGTAGAGCTAAATTTATCTCCCCTGCGGCGCTTAAATAAAAAAAGATTCTCGGCTGTTCTTTGGTTCCTCTAATACAGTCTACCCAACAGCTCCGCCGTCAGAAGAGGCTAGGCAGGTCCTCCCCCTCCTCCACTTCCTCCTTTACTCCTTCTCCTCCACATCCTCTTCATCTTTCTTCATCTTCACATCTTCCTCCACCTCCTCACACACTACCTCCACCACACACCTCCACCTCCACCTCCACCCACCTACCTTCACCACACCCCCTCCACCTCCACCCACCTACCTCCACCACACCCCCTCCACCTCCACCCACCTACCCTTCCTCCACCTTTCTCAGTGTTCCTCGTACAGGTGCACTCAACACGGCAGGTTAATCTGTCACGCAGCGGGAGAGATATAACCTCAATATTGACCCTTAATGACAAGCCGTGGGGGCAAGATAATCACAAACGACCCCAAGTATGATTAAAAATAATGAACACAGAAGAGAGATTAAGAAGAGGAGTCAGAAGAGTTAATAAATGAGGTAAATGAAATCCAGGTAAAGTAAGGAAGAGGAATAATAATAATAATAATAATAATAAGAATAAATAAATAAATAAAAAATAAAACAGAATAAGAAAAAAATATTAAATGATAATGATGATGCTGATGATGTATGATGATGATGGTGATGATGATGGTGATGATGATGATGATGATGATGATGTATGATGCGATGATGGTGATGATGTATGATGATGATGGTGGTGATGATGATGGTGATGATGTATGATGATGATGATGATGTAATGTAAAGAGCGTTAAAGCCATCCGAGAAATAATAATAATCTTGATAATTACGGATTATTACGCAGTCTACACACTTCCCACATCTCACCAACACCCATGGCTTTTCCTACACCTTTTCTACACTTCTCCAACACTCACAGCCTCTCCTACACCTCTCCTACACCCTTCCTTATACCTCTCAACACTCATAACCTATCCTACATCTCTCCTCCTCCTCCTCCTCCTCCACCACCTCCATCACTACCATCACCACCACTATCTCCACCACCATCACCATCTCAACCATCACCACCACTATCTCCACCACCATCACCATCTCAACCATCACCACCACTATCTCCACCACCATCACCATCTCAACCATCACCACCACTATCTCCACCACCATCACCATCTTAACCATCACCACCACTATCTCCACCACCATCACCATCTCAACCATCACCACCACTATCTCCACCACAGTACCTCAGTTTGTCGGGTCAACCATGGATATCATTTTAGTCTTTTTCTCATGTTGTCTGTTTATTTTTATAATTATTTTGATTTTGCATTTATTTGAGTATTTAATAGTGTGTGTGTGTGTGTGTGTGTGTGTGTGTGTGTGTGTGTGGTATTAACCTTATATAACAAAATAAAACTGAACTGCTCGTTAATCCTGAATAAATATTTTTTTTTTTTACTGATCTCCTCTCGTAAAACTCTTCCACTGTTTCTGAATTGTTGTTTCTGTATAAATAAAATAAAATGTGTTACCGATTCTACCTAAAACACAAATAAATACAGAAATGTTTCAGAAGTTATCCGGCCTAGGTGAGGTGTGGACACGTGGAGGTGTGGGGGAAATGGGGTGGAAATAACTACCCAATTGGCATTCACAGCACTTAAAAACAGCACTAGTGGCACTCTACATAGGTGGTACTTACCGCATTTTCCCAGATACTTGACTTCCAGGTGTCGTCGGGTTCTGCAGGCGTGTTGTCTAAGCTGGCATTCATGGTCGTAGTCTTGGCCGTCGGAACCACACACTGGGGATGACGAGGCCGGCGACCCCATCAACCCACCTCCTCCGTACATCCTACAATCCACCGGACACTCGCATCTGGCACTCCTGTTGTCGTCGGTAGGCACGCACACGGCACCATGGAGGCACTTTTTACCTCGGCAAGGGTCGCGCACTGTGGGAACACAAAGCGGGAAAGTGACGTTAGTACAGCCTTCAGTTTAGGGAGGAACGAGGGTCCGCCAGGCACACGGTCAACATGCACAAGAGTAGCGGAGAGACTCGCACTACAGTATTGACAATAGCTGGGGATGCAAGTGTTAGGCTCAAGGAATATACTAGAGGGAGGGGAGAGTCTGCTGAGAGATGATCACTGAGGGGGTGGGGGGGGAAGTATGATGGAAATAGTTGAGAGAGTATGTTGGGGAGAGTATGTTGGGGAGAGTATGTTGGGGAGAGCTGGGGAGAATATGTTGGGAAGAGTATGTTGGGAAGAGTATGTTGGGGAGAGTATGTTGGGAGAATATGTTGGGAAGAGTATGTTGGGAAGAGTATGTTGGGGAGAGAATGTTGGGAAGAGTATGTTGGGGAGAGTATGTTGGGGAGAGTATGTTAGAAGGATCATACTGTGGCATATTCTGGGGGGATATATGAGAATTTGCTGCAGGAATATGTTTTGGATATATACTGGGGGGAGGATGGATACAGATATAAAGGCAATAATTGAGGTAGATGGTTCATACACAAGGTTATTCTGTACACACTCTGCAAAAAGGTCATACATAAATAAGCGTATGTGTGTGTGTGTGTGTGTGTGTGTGTGTGTGTGTTATACTGCCATGGTAGGTCATACGAGGCCATGGCTAGGGTCACCAAGGGGTTAAGACAATCAGACGCAAGATACAACAGTTAGTTTTGGTCACCTGAGTCAGCATCATTAACACTCCTACGGTGATTTATCCTCACACAGGCTGGTATGGTGGTCAGGGCTGCTGGCAATGTGTTCCAATATACTCAGATGAAAGAAAATATAACACACCTTTGAGAATCCGATACTCAACTGCATTTCAATCTTGTACAAACACACAATAAAAATATTCGTAAATTAAGTAAGATCTCGGGATAAACGAGAAAACGGATAAATACTACAGTCAAATACATTAGCTAGTGAATGATGCTAAAAATAATACGAATTTTTTTCAGTTAGATCTTAAAATAAAATAGGTAATAAAAATGAAATTAAAATCAACGTTAAAATAGCTGGGAATATAATCTCTCAGCTCTGGGGCTTATTTACCAACACCCATTTTCTGTGAGTGTTATTTGCGCGACAATTTTCTTCTATAAGCGATCAACGACGAGAGAAAATGATAACTAGGGTAGACTCTTTGGTTTTTTATTTTGTTTTTATTATCACCATTAAATGAGTCAGTCAGCTCTATGAATAACACCGAACCCTGAAACTGGCCCAAAAAAAATCTCGGACCAGCTTGTAATAAATGCTGTCACACACTATACCTTAATTCATTCTAAAAAAAAATGATTAAAACATTAATATACAAAGAACCAGCCTACATCAGTTAGATTAATGTAAATATATATAATTAGTAACAATATTTTTACTTTTACAGCTTAACACTAAACAACATAAACATTCAATTAAAACAAAATTAAACATTCTTCTAAAAACAAAACAAAAAAAACACGATCGAGCCAATCAAGCGACCAAAACAAAAGGAAATACCCAAAGCGCACGTAACAAAAATAAAATAAACGGGAGAAAACAAAAGTGACATCCGATAAACCAAATAAGAATGTGAAACTGAAAATAAAGATCCCCTCCCAAGATAGGTGGAAATGGATAGTCACAAGAGGAGGGTGTGCGTGTGCGTGTGCGTGTGCGTGTGTGTGTGTAAGAGGAGAGAGAGAGAGAGAGAGAGAAAGGGGCGGGGGAGGAGGAAAGGAAATGAACAAACACATTCCTCCACTTGAAAACAAAAACAGATATAATTAACTGAGATAATTTTTTTTTGTTATATTTACTCATAAAAGGAAATAAAAGTAATTATAACTAACAATGGGATTTTTTTTTCTACGCCCAAATAAAAAATATAAATGACTTTTTTTTTTGCCTTTTTCAACATTATCCACAAATAGCCTTAAAAATTGTGTTAATTCTGGATATAAATAAAAACAAATAAACAAATAAACAAAGGAAAAAATATTGTCACCTATTAAGACTAAACAAATACAAATAGAAATAATACAACAACTTAATACAGAATTATGAAAAGTTAATAATACAAAAAATGGAAAAAAAAAGTTTATATAATTTTGGACATAAAGTAATATTTTATTATATATATTTTGGATGGAAATTTATATAATGAAAAAAGTTGTAGTTTTGATGACACAATAAATCACTGAAAAAGATTTACATATTTTTGTATATAAATCAATAGAAAATATTATTATAGTTTTATATATAAATTAATATAAAACTGAAAAAGGTTTATTGTCTTATAAAACAAATTAAAACGAACCCCAAAAGTTGTTATATATTGTAGATTATTCAGATAAAAACAAAGGGTTATGACAATCAAAACAAAACAATATAAATCAAATACATAAACCCACCAAAACAATAAACCAAAACCAGGGAATATAAACATTAAAACACGACAATAAACCATAGGAAAAACACATCAAAACAATACTCCAAGGGGATACAACACCAAAACAATTTCCCAACGTCAAAACAAGAAAATTGACGTCAAGACAATGAAGAAAATAAGACAAAAAAAGACTTAAACCTGTCAGAAAAAATCGAACAAGTGAAGAAAATTGTTAAAACATTAAGTAAAGACAAAATGAGATGAAGACAAGGTTGTGGAATGAACCTAAAGACAATAAATAATGTGAAGTAAAGAAAAATCAGAAAATTATTGAGTAGAGAGGCAGAGACACAGATGAGTGGTGTAGTGTGGTGTGGTGTGGTGTGGTGTAGTGTGGTGTGGTGTGGTGTGGTGGTGTGGTGTGGTGTGGTGATGTGGTGTAGTGTGGTGTGGTGTGGTGTAGTGTGGTGTGGTGTGGTGATGTGATGTGGTGTGGTAAATGTGGCAGACAGAGGACGATGCCCACTTCAGCCCTACACACACACACACACACACACACTCCACAAAACACCCATTCACCACCCCCCCCCACACACACATACACACACACACACGCACACACACACACACACATACATACACTCGCTACACCCACCAAAAAAGTTCACATTTTACCTTTTAGACTTCAAAGGCCAGAGTTTTGACACAAACAAAAACTAAATAAAAATAAAAAAAAATAAAAATAAAAAAAAATATGGCGTCCTTTAGAAGTTTCAACGGGCAGAGGAGATGAAGAAATAAATCATGTTTTTTGTTTTTAATTTATATTTATGTTTCCAAAGTCTTCGAAATGTGATACTAAAATAAATTGGAAAAAGAAAAAAAAATAGATATAGATAAATAAAAAAAAATAGTTATTTTTTTTTTTTTTTTTTTTTTCCAGTTTGTTTGTGATTTATTGTGATTGTGTTGATTATGTTTGTGATTTATTGTGATTGTGTTGATTGTGTTTGTGATTTATTGTGATTGTGTTGATTGTGTTTGTGATTTATTGTGATTGTGTTGATTGTGTTTGTGATTTATTGTGATTGTGTTGATTGTGTTTGTGATTTATTGTGATTGTGTTTATTGTGATTCCGGTGATTGTCTTAGTATGAACAAATATATAATTTTCTCTATGGTTTTAATATAATGTTATTATCTTTACATCACAGCTGACGTCATGTAGGAACAAACACAACAACAATAACAACAATATCAGCTGACGTCATGTAGGAACAAACACAACAACAACAACAACATCAGCTGACGTCATGTAGGAACAAACACAACAACAACAACAATAACATCAGCTGACGTCATGTAGGAGCAAACACAACAACAACAACAATAACAATATATCAGCTGACTTCATGGAAATAATCAACACACTAACTAACTAACTGACTGACTGACTGACTGACTGACTGACCACCTAATTAAAAAACTCACTAACAGGCCCAACAAGACAGACAGACAGACAGACAGACGCAAAAAAAAAAATTACATTAACAAAAAAATAACAAATACACAAAATAAATCAATTAAAAAAAAAAAACAATCACACTGCAATAAACAAAGATTTTAATTCATTACAAAAAAATACAAACTTAAATACATAAAATTCATATATAAAAACAAAAAAATTAGTAGTCGAATTAAAAGAATAAAAAAAAATGTCTCACGAGAAATAAATATTATCCGTCATATCACGAAGGTCGGGCTAAAGTGATTGAATACTTCCCCAGGAGTAAATATTCTATATCACATGAACATCAATCCTTCCTAGCTTATTTGACCTCATGATTAAACACCTTAATGTTATCTGGTTAGGTTAGGTTAGGTTAGGTTAGGTTAAATTAGGTTACGTTAGATTAGGTTAGGTTAAATTAGGTTAAGTTAGATTAGGTTAGATTAGATTAGTGTTAAGATATTAAATAATCAAATGGACTTCTAAACTATGGAGCGGGGGTGATAAACTTCATATGACCCGAGAGAGAGTTTGAAAGGCAGAAAAAAACCACTTTTTGCCCAAACTGCTCATATACTGCACTTAACTCCCATTATGCCGGGGAAATATAAAACATTATTTTCCCTTTACGATCTTTTTTTCTTCTGTTTTCTGTAATCAATGTTATTAGCGGCAGCAAGTGTCCTGTCAACTCTATTAAATTGTTGTTGTTGTAGTTGTTGTTGTGGTAGTTAGGTGTGGTTGTGGTAGTTAGGTGTGGTTGTGGTAGTTAGGTGTGGTTGTGGTAGTTAGGGGTGGTTGTTTTAGTAGGTGTGGTTGTTTTAGTAGGTGTGGTTGTGGTAGTTAGGTGTGGTTGTTTTAGTAGGTGTGGTTGTTTTAGTAGGGGTTAAAAGGTGTGTGCCAAGCATTAACGTCGTCTCTACTCATCTTTCCTCATCATCATCACCACCACCATCACCACCACACCTCCGTTTGTCACAGGAGTGGTGATGACAGTGGTAGTGTGGCGGAGGCATGATGCACCACCACCTTTATTGACACTATCCACATGATACCCCTTAACATGTTGGTCTAGAGAGAGAGAGAGAGAGAGAGAGAGAGAGAGAGAGAGAGAGAGAGAGAGAGAGAGAGAGAGAGAGAGAGAGAGAGAGAGA